AATAAACCCTTTCCTTGCAGAACCATCTGAAAGTAGAGCATTACTATGAAAACTTTTATAAGCTGAAATGGTGTAAATAGGAAAAGCAGTTATCATTAATTTATTTGGATTTTTTTTTTTTTTTTTTTTTTAGTGTTCCCAGATCTAAAGTTCAACACATGCACAATGGCTTTATTTCATTCAACCACCTTTAAAACGCTTAGTTATGCCCAGTGTTACACTAAGTGTAATACCGTTACGAGCTCTCTTAGGCATTTCTGATACCTTAGGACACATCTTGCTAATGGATGAACAAACTAAAGATAAAGCGCAGATGCTTATAGACCCAGTTCAAAGCAATGGTGGCTTGATGCTGAGATGCTGAGTGTAGTTCTGGGGAAGGAGTGGGATGGTGGGCGAAGAGGGTGGTGGGGGCATTCTTTCTGATCCAGGTGCAGCTATCTGTATAATGGCTGGCTGCAAACAATGGATGGCTGCTGAGGGACACTCATTTGGTTGGATCCTTATCCCATACACCTCAAAGTTGTCGGTTTGATTCCCAGTGAGTGCACATACTTAGGTTGTGGGTTCAATCCTCAGTTGGGAGGGATTGCTGTTTCTCTCTCTTTCTCCCCCTTCTCTCTCTAAAATCAACAAACATATCCTCAGGTGAAGGTGAAAAAGAAAACACTGAATGCTATTTTCACTTTTTGCCTGTTTTCTAAAAAAGCAAAATCCTCTTTGGATTTCTTTTGGTTAGCAAACAGGTCCTAATGTAAGTCTTAAGTAAAAGCAAATTGATGTAACTCGAACTTTCAAAAACTGGGGGATATCTGTATTATAATAGAAACCTAAAAATACTGTGAAAGAAAAATACAAGAAGGGATACATTTTCAGTGAGATGATGTAACCGGTGTTGGGGAGGAGGGCGAGGTGCCAGGGGACTTCTCTTGAGAGAATGACGTTAGACTTGCAATGCAAACATGTAATAGAATTTTCTTCTGCAGGGGCAGAGGAGGAAGACTGAGACTCTCGGGGTCCAGTACAGTTTTGTAATTCACAGCAGTGATGGGGCTTAGAGTTTCAAAAAGAATTTTTTAAGTGTTTCAGCTGCTTGAGACAATATAAATGACAATCAGATATTTCTCAAACTGTTTTTTATTTTTTATTTTTTTTTACTTTTGCTCTCCTTTCTAGTGATTTGGATACTAGAAATCACTGCCATATTGAGTGAAGGGGTGTGAGGAGGCACAAAACACTCAACCCACTACCACATTCCTGAGTGTACTTCCTACTGAACATATGGCTCCATTCCTCTTTTATTTTATTTTTTAAAAGATTTTATTTATGTATTTTTAGAGCGAGGGGAAGGGAGAGAGAGGAAGAGAAACATCGATGTGTGAAAGATACATTGATCGGTTGTTTCTTGCACACTGGTTGTCTCTTGCACACTCCTAACTGGGTACCTGGCCCACAAGCCAGGCATGTGTCCTGACTTGGAATCAAACCAGCAACCTTTTAGTTCACAGGCTGGTGCTCAGTCCACTGAGCCACACCAGCCAGGGTCCAATTCCTCTTTTATAGCTGAGATTTTTTACAGTGATGTCATTCAACTACAAGGTTTTACTTATTTTTTCATTTCCTCACTTGTGACACTGAGAGAAGAGCTTCCTCCATTTACAATAAAAATATTACAAAGAAGCACACATGCAAGATATGCTTTCATTATTTTTAAGAATGCCATTTGCTTCCTGTTGGGTACTGAAAATATGAGGGGGAGCACTTTGTAAAGTATATGATCATCTAACCACTATTGAGTACACCTGAAATTAATACAAAATAATATTTAATGTAAACTATAATTGGAAAAATAATTTTAAAAAAAAGAATACCCTTTGTTTTTGATCCTTTCCCTTTTGTAGATGATTAAAGTTCCCTTTTGAAATGGCACCACCCAGGCATTCTGGGTTCCTGCTCCAGGATCACTAGTAGACACTTGCAACCACATCAATTTCCACATTGTCACTTGAAAAATGGCCAACAGTCTTGGCTTATGATGTAGAATTTTTCAGGTTTCCAACACTCTTTGTTCTACCGTGTGATTTGGTTCTAAATGACCTGGAGTTATTAGAAAAACCTGTAGAGACAATTTTTTAATTGGAGCAAAATAAATTATGAAGTCATTTTTTAAATTTTACATGATCATTTTTTTCTTGATGAAAGCTCAATAATAGATGGTAGCTTTTTAAAACAATTTTTAAAAGATTTTGTTTATTTATTTTTTGAGAGGGGAAAGGAGGGAGAAAGAGAGGGAGAGAAACATCAATGTGTGGTTGCCTCTCATGCACTCCCTATTGGGGACCTGGCCCACAACCCAGGCATGTGCACTGACTGGGAATTGAACCAGGGATCCTTTGGTTTTCAGACCAGCAGTCAATTCACTGAGCCACACCAGCCAGAGCAAATGGTAACTTTTTAAAACCATGAGTGCAATTTTTTATTACAAGCTGAAGAGGATAAATTGGGTGACAAATTGACAAAAACAAACCTGATGATCACCATGTGAATCGTGGGCCACTTAGAGGAATGGGCCATTATCAACAAATTTCTTAACCATCATTAATTATTTGAATAATTATGCATAAAATTAAAGCAAGATGGCAAAAGAAAAATAAAATTAAAATGGCAACTCCAAAGGAGAATTAAATATAGAACCAAATAGTCAACGAAGTAGCCTAACACACAAAGAAAGGCCTATGCATAAAAGTCATCTTTTTACAGACAGGCAGTGGTCTGTGGAACTGTGAGGTTTTACGATGCAAATTGTGTTAAGTGTGTATTATATTAATGAGTTGTGAAAGATTACATGGGAAAGAAAAATATCATGCTTTTCCTTTCAGAATAAAATTCCAAAGTCTTCCATTCCCCTATGTGTATGGCCTTTACAAGTGTACTGGGATACTCAGACCTACTAACCAACATCTTCCTGACCAATGGTTGGTCCAGGAAAGGCACTGCCAGATTTAGTTTCTGTGATTTTTACCATTCTTCTATGACCTACAAATATCTCCTCTTTACTGGCACATTGAATTTTCTTGTTGCATTCATGCCTTTAACAGTTACAGTTTTCTAAAATTTTTCTGTAATACATTTTTAATGTTAGCTTTTCTCTATAATTATCTTTAAAAAGTTAATATAAATTTATGCTGGATTCTGTGAACAAATATCTTAGAACAAAGTACTGACACTTCATTTTTATATCTTTATCTGTGTTGTGTTTGTGTTGTGACTGTGAGGAGCCAATTAGCAATACCTTAACTGTTAATGAGCTAATGAGAAAAAAACAGTGTTTGACTTAGGACAAAAAACCACTTTGAGGAGCAAGTAAAGGACAAATGGATCATAGCGCTTAACACTAATGAAGATTTCATAGTAATATGGATAGAAAATGATGCAAGAAAACTAAACTGCTAGTGGTACGTAGTAGTATAGACCTGCAGAATTTTGAGAGTTGGTTCTGTAAGACTAGTAGGTGCCATATCCACACTGTATGCAATAGAGTTTCAGCAAAAAGATTGTGTTACATCAGGGTTGTTAAAGTTTTTATATTTAATTTGTAAATTTGGTTTTTAAATAACTTATAATAAATGCATTTATATTTATATGCGAAGTTTCATTTAGGTTTAGACATTAAATAACACTACAATAATAGTAATTTAAGCCAGCACTGGGGTTAGATAACTTAGTTCTTTACAAATTGTCAGTATTTATTTAAGTTTGAGAAACTAGTTTAACATCAAACATCATGCCCACTGCTGGAATTATCCATAGACAGTGCATTTGTAACTATTTGTTTTATTGTGGGACAGCTCTGATAATTCGAAAGTTCAGTTTTTATTGTTTGCTGCGTTTACATTTTTTTTTTGTACGTTCCAACCATTGGTGGTACTTATACTTAGAAACAAATTAAGTTTGCTTCTTTCTGTTCAAACTTTTAGTGATAGGAAGATAGCTATCATGCTTTTCGTTAATCTTGCTTCAGCAAAAATAATTCTGAGAACCTACTTTGAATAAAACATTGTACATTAGCCATTTGATTTTTGCCCCGAAGGGGACTACATTTCCTTTACACTTTCCCTGATATTTTTCCCTAATTACTGCAAATTACACATACTGTAGCTATTTCCCTCTTACAAAGTGGCACTTAAAAATAAACACATAGAACAGAGGCTTTTATTCATAGCACCAATAATTTAAAAAAAGGAATTAAACTCAGCAATGTGTTAGGAACTAAGAGGGGCTGAAACAGAAGTATATTGGCACACCATTTTTGCATTTAGAGTTCGAATCTAGTTGGAAATGAAAATTACAGTCTTAGATATTAAATATTAAAACAAGCATTGTAGCAGAGTTTAGAAAACTGAGTTCTAGAGTCATTAAGGGGACATTTCTGGAGTTACAGTCTTGAAAGCTACAGTGGGTCTGAATACACCCAGTGCAAACAAGCACCCAAGTACTTTGCGAAATATTGCATAAATATTGGTAGTGCTAGGGACTGAGTTTTCTTTCTCTTTGTTTAGTCCTTTCTCCACTCATAGCAGAAAGAGGAAATGGTTGCTTGAGATAGTAAACTTTTAGTTAAATCTACAATTTTTAGAAAGGCCACTGAAATTTAAACTTGGCGAAATTCTACTTATTTTCCCGTTCCTTGTTCTGCCTTTAGCCAGCAGTAGTTGTTACAATTCTTTTTGAAACGAATTTTCTTTTGGGTTGATTTTAGTAACAGCTCAAACTCAAAAGTCACCTTGTTTAAAAAAAAAAAAAAAAAAAAAAAGGTCCTGTCAAAACAGAAAGAATATAGAAAGTCTGGAAAGTAACCCGGCTGTGTTTCCGGACTGCTACTTACCCTTAAGCAAGATGGAGGGCTCCTTTGCACCTGCGCAAAAGGAAAGCTGGGCGGGGAGTTCCGGCGCGCGGGGTTGCGCTCCACGCAGGGATTGGCGCCGCCAGGGGTGGGAGGAGGAACCGGAAGCGCCCGTGTTTTGGGACCCAGCTGTTTCAATCCCGGCATTTTTTCACCACCTTATTTCCCGTGGTAGTATCTCCTTTCGCAGAGGTGGGATGGGGGAAGCGGAGAAGTTTCACTACATCTACAGTTGTGATCTGGATATCAACGTACAGCTTAAAATGTAAGAGAATCTGGGGACAGGGACTGGGATTGCTGAAATTTGGGGTTGGGGAGACATGGACCTGTGGGGTCGGGGAGAGAAAGTGGTTCCCAGCATGGGCGCCGGCTTGGTGGCGGCGGGGAAGGCGGTGGCCGGGGCCGCGAAAGAAATCGGGGGTGTGGAGAGGGGTGCTGAGGAAGAAGGATTGAGGACGTGGTTTCTGGGAGGACAACTGTAAGAATAAACCCTTAAGTCCCACGGTGTTTTACTTCAAAGCACTTGATGTGCACAGCAACTTTTGAGGGATTACTGCCCCATTTTACAAATGAAATCAAGTCTCAATAAAGTGGTCCCGCAGTTAAAAATGGGAAGATCTTGCCTATATAATGGGGCTGGAAGGTGGAGCGGAGACTGCAGAATTATGGAGAGGTAGACATAGGCAGATATAGCTGCTGAAAATAAGATGAGCACGTGGATGTACAGTAGTATTGGAAGCACCGAAAATGACAGAGGGTTTGGGTGAATCTTTTTACAGTCTGCCATTGTTTCGCCAGGGGAATTAGGAATGAGTCAAAGAGGGTGCCAGTTGCAAAGAAGATAGACAAGAGCCTTGCAGGAAAATCTTGGGGCATCACTAAAGTAAAGGCCAAAGTCAGGATATCTTGAGATAAGAATAGTGGAACTGAGGTGGGGCACAAGTAGGACGGAGTTGGAAATTATGTGCATTTTAAAGCAGTGTCAGAGGAGTATTTTCGTATGCAAAAACTACTGCAAATTATTAATCACAACATCATTCATAGTATATCAGTATTCAACAAATGTTTCTCAGGCAAGGGGCTGCATACCTGCAGTAAAGACATTTTCTCAGTTGTCAGGTGCACCTTTACATGATTGTTTCTTTTTATTTTCAGAAGTTACTTGAGGCTCTTAAAATTAATTTATTATTCATTTTGGGTGATGGTAAAAATAATATATCAACAACTGTACATTTTTAATAATACTTTATATATGCATTTAAGGTAATTTCTGCATCATACACTTCTAGATACGTGTACAGGACCTATATGCCATCTCGTACAGGGCTTTCCATCAATCTCATTCCTCCCAGTATTTCTTGAACATGTGAATGTATATTTGAAACCTTTGGACATTGCATGGAAAGAAGAAAAATTGGCCCGTTATTAAGAGATACATACTTTGAATACTTTGAGGCAAAGATAAAACATTAATCAGAAGCTTACTAAAATTTAGTCACTGTGTCTCAGCTTCTCAAATTGTTGGCTTGGGGGTGGTGTGGAAATATCAGTGTAGAATCATAAAATCAAAGAAGAGTCACTTGTTTAATTCTGTTTATTCTCCCCAGGCATTTTCACTTATTTTTATGGTTTTAATAATGACTTGCACTTTGATGTCTCTTTTCTTAGCACCATAATTGAATATCAAACTGGCCACAAAACATCTTCACTTCGGATGTCCTAAAGCACTTTAAAAGTATCTTGCCCCAAATTGAACACATCACTAGCCTCCCCCTCTAACTCTGAACTTCCTATGTTGTCTCATCCTGTTTTGGTGATGGCTAGCAACATTCACTGCGTTTGTTAAGACAGAAAACTTTGCATTGTACAGACATCATCTCTTAACTCTTAAAAGTTGTCTTGAATCTACTTGCTAGATAAATGTTTTTTCTATCCCACTTCCCTAGCCTTATCCTACCTTTTCCTGTTTGATTTTGACTGCAAATCTAACTAATCTTCCTTTCAGTTCCCTTCTCCATTATGTTCTTATATTCCTGCCAAAGGTATCATAAATACAAATTTGACTATATTTACTCTCACTTCAGCTAATTAACATTTTTGAATATTCATTGTATAAGGGATTGTACTGAATTTGGTGGCTACTTAGATTCATCGTCCCCCTACTTTTCGTTTTCTAGATGCTTCCCGACATGAACCTTATGCTTTAGCTGTACCAAACAACTTGCAGTTTCCCAGACATACTGTCTTTCTCTATGCCTTTGTAAGAGGTCTGTACATAAAGTATCCAGCCATGTAGTATGAAAAATGGAGGCACTTATTGAAGAAGATACAAGGTATAAAAAACACTGTGCATAGGGCAATGACACCTCAGTCCCCTTCAAAGTAGGTACCTTGGGACCTCACACAGCTCTCCCATTCACCATCAGCTCCCCTATCTTATTTTCCTGAATCTTATCGGCAGCCTGAAATCTCTTCTCATTTCAAAGGTGATTTTAGTTTTGGGAAAAGCCAGAAGTCTCAGGGCACCAAATCTGGTCTCTAGGAGTGCTGAGTCACCTGGGTGATTTGATGTTTCACAAAAAAACTGCACGAGCCATGATGCATGAGCAAGCACATTGTTGTGATGAAGCTGCCAATCACCAGTGGTCCATAGCTGCAGCCTTCTGGATCATCCGAATAGTTTCTGTGGAGGAATGTTCAAGCCTAACGCAGAATTTGATGCACACTTGTTGCTCTACTTGCTCAGTCATTTTGAATGCCATAGCCACACAGTACATATGCTCACTCAATGATGTCAGCTGTCCCCACAGACTAGAATAGTGAGGTCATCATTGTTCTCATGTATATGTGCATTTCAGTCCCATCTCCTTGAATGCCAAGTTACATCGAAGTTGCGCAAACTGTTCTTGTCATATTAATAATGGCTGGACTTTTTCCAGACAGACCTTGTATGTGCTGTTGTGTTTTGTTTTGTTTTTCTGGTATGACCCCGTACTTTTTTGCCTTTCATTTTTAAGATACTGTGCAGGGTCATTTCAGACATCTTTCTGAGACTCAGAGCCCCCAAGCTCCAAGACTTTTTGATGTACAGTATCTCTGTGGTGGGAAGGATGTTGGCTTTGGCCTTTTCTGCTCGGCTTTTTGTTCTCAGCTGTGTTACTCTGATCTTGATCTCTGAGTCTCTGCAGCATCATTTCTAAAATGAGCATATGGTGAAAAGTAAGTAAGAAACAGTATATAAAATGCTTGGTACAATATCTGACACAGTCTTGATTTTCAGTTGATGTTTCTACCTCTTTTATAGTTTCCTGTGCTTATCTTTTATGACTTAACACTGTATTTTTTAGTTTAAAGAAATGATCAGATAATACATCTTTAGAGTAAAAAAAAAATTTAAAGAGTATAAAAATACGCAGTTAAATATGCAGTTAAATATGCAGCTATAATTAAGTTTTCTCCCCAGAAGCAAGGACTTAACATTTTCTTGCAAAGCTGTGTTGTTTATCTTGCATTTCATTTCTGAGCCTCTCTGCCTAGTACAAAAATGTTGAAAGCATAGATCAGTAAGTGCTCAGCTTGAAATTAATAAAAATGAAACGAAGGCCTTGACAACTGGTGATGCCTAGAAGGTAGACCAAGAGTTAATGACAGGTTTAAAATTAAGAAAATAGAGAAATATGTTGATGAAGATAGAAATGATTTTAGGTATGTTAGGGTAAGATACCTTTATTCGATGTAAAAGTAATTTTAATTTCTTGTACAGGAAAATATTCAGGTCAGGGGTCCCCAACCTCTGGGCAGTAGACCATTACTGGTCTGGGCCTGTTAGGAACCAGGCCACACAGCAGGAGGTGAGCTTGAATGTAATGCACTTGAATCATCCCAAAACCATCCCCCCCAATTCCAGTCTGTGGAAAAATTGTCTTCCAGGAAACCTATCTCTGGTGCCATAAAAATTGGGAACCGCTGGTTTAGATAACAAATTTATTGTAACAGCCATAAACTCTTTAGTATCTGTTATCTATATGTTTAAAAAAATGCGTGTCTAAACATTATTGTTCTTATGCTTCCAGAGGAAGTTTGGAAGGCAAGAGAGAACAAAAGAGTTACAAAGCTGTTCTAGAAGACCCGATGTTGAAGTTTTCAGGACTGTACCAAGACACATGCTCTGACCTTTACGTCACTTGTCAAGTTTTTGCAGAAGGGAAGCCTCTGGCCTTGCCAGTGAGAACATCTTACAAGGCATTTAGTACAAGATGGAAGTAAGTTTTCTTCTTCCAGACTGTTGTCCCATTTCTTTATAGATGTTGTTAACTATGATATTTGGTAGTGATTACAGAGGAACTTTTATAAAATTTCTTAAGTATTTCTAAGCATTGGTTGAATAGTTTAAAGCAGTAACGTGCTCAGATACAATAAAGTATTAAACATAATTAAGATGGAAGTGAATTTGTTTGTATTCAGTATATTGACATTTTTTTATAAGAGCTTGACTGATTCACAAAATGACCCAATCAAAAACACATGTAGCATCTTTAAAATCTCTGTTCTGTGCTGTTGAACACATAAACACTTCTTGATAGTCTTAAATGTTACCCAGTCAGATGTTTGGAGGTCAGATTTGTAAAGAGAGATCTATTATCATCTGTTCAGATTATGTTTTTATTATATGAAACTTTTTTTTGAAGTTCATGGTTTATGGAACATGGTACATTAGCAAACCATTGTCAGGATGCAAGGTAAATATAATGAATATGAAGTTATTCTTTTTCCAGGACAGTATTAATTTAACCTCTTGATACTTCTTTTTGGTGGGTTATATGTATGATGCAGTTTTAATGTTCAGTCCACACGTGTTATTGAGGACCCTGGCAGGCTAGCTGCAGGATGCAAAAGCTGTCTGCCTCTAGGAAGGAGCTTATGCCCACAGTGTTCATGGAAGACAGTGCGTGGCCACCACGTGGACTGCCAGGCTCTGCTGTTGAGGGTACAACCCCGTGTTTACCAAGTGTGGCCCAGCAGGCTGGGAGGGGTTTTTCAGAGAGCAGAAGACTGAGCTCTGGTGATTGGCCACATTGAAACCAAGTACTTAAATGGCGTAATTTCTTCAGTAGTCTCTTTGTGAATAGACATTCACACACACAGAAGTCTGTATTTGTACATATACGTGTTACTCTGGAAATTTTCAAACCTGTTAAAGTAGAGAGAATAATATAATGAACTTCCAAGCCCCTTCACCTAGCATGATAATTACTAACTCAAGGCCAATTTTGTTTTATCTGTACCCACGGTTATTTTGAAGCAAAATCCAAATACATTATCTGAATTGAAAGTATTTTTGTGTATCTCTTTAAAACATAGCTACAGTATCATCATTACAACTAAAAAACCAGACTGAAATTTCTTAATTGTGTGACAGTTTGAATACTGAATTCATTCAAAGTTTATCTAAGTCTGTTCTATCATATTTTATCATATCCTGTCCTAAATAAGAGAGCCCATAGTGAGGGATACCTGTGTTTTCTTTAGTTACATTTAAGGTAAAACTCTCATTTTTAGATAGGGAATCTCACAAATTTTCAAGTTTTACATATGACAGTTATTCTGTAGGCAAGTTATTTAATTTTTTTTTAAATTTTATGTTCTTGTCCCATAACAGATTTTAAATGGCTTTAGAGAGAGGCATATATGTATATATGTATACTAACAGTCTAACATAATTGAAAAATTAGAACATTAGGACATTAGGATTTAAGAGTTCATTCATCAGACAAGAGAGTTAGTACCATGGTGTTTGAGGGCGGCGGGACGGGGCGAGGATCAGACCATCCAGAATCAGTCTTTAGGATTTGGCAGTGCTGTGAAAGCTGCCAGGTGAATGTAGTGTTGAATGTAATAAAGGTTGGGAAGGGGAGGTAGAGAACAAAATGCTGTTCAAAATACATAGCTTATTGATGTCTGACCAGATCTTTCCAGAATTTCTAAAATATCTAGAGCAGTTTTCAAACTATTTTTCGGCTGCAGATTCATTTTCTTCTAAGGAACTCTTCTGCAGAAGCCTAGTATGTAAAACAGTTTACAATACAGGTGCTTTGATTAAAGATCTCAGAGGCCTAGTGTTGAAATGCAGAGGATTTAAGGCAAACACATTGCTTGATCATATGTATTGTCTCTGTCAGAGGACAGAATGTAGAAGTGAGAATTTTCACAGTACATTTTGGATGTTATTGCTGGCTGACTTTTCCCTTTAACTTTAACAGTATTATCTTTGGTTTGTTCATTGGCAGAAGATGACACTGCTTAGTATTTACATTTTTAACCTGGCCCACCATGTGGATAGTAATTAAATAAAGTAATTTATTTCCTCAAGCTTATCTGCTGATGAGAATGGCATTTTTAGGCATGTGATTAATTTTTATGAGACCTTTATAGAAGAAAAGGATTTAATGACTTTGATTCTCTTTTAGATTGATAGCTATCTCAAATTTTCCTGTAGCTGGATTTTATATGGTGGTTATAAACAATTTGTCCTTTAAGCTTTTGAAAGTTTTGTTCGATTTCTTACCGATACAAATATATTTGATGTAGACTGGTATATGCCCCTTTACAAATTATTTTGAGTAAACAGAATACTCTTGAGAAAAGAGAGAAACAGTTATCTGCTGGGTATTACTTTGTGTATTGTTTACATACTTTTTTTTGTATAGTTTTCTTTTTGGATTTTAAAAACCAGCTATTGTTTAAGGAAGTTGACATTACCAAATAAATACAGTGTGAAGTTTGAATACAAAAGAAAATATGCAGAGAAAAATAGAGTGAAAAAAAGAGAATTGTTCTGTCATTACTATATATTAAGAAAAAGCATTTCTTAGGAAAACATATACACAAACATGCTTTAAAAGCATAAATAGACCAATATCTATGCATTATCAGTATTAATGAAATAACTTGAGGAACAGAAAATTCCCCAGTAAAAAATGTTACATCTGTCCAGAGCTCTCTGGTAACTTCATGTTACAAAGGCAGTGGATAATCTATTTCAGTCTTTTTAGGGTTTTCGTTGTTTTCTTCTTTGTTGAGGTACATTATAGGACCATGTTATCTTCAGCAGTGTTTTGAGTGTAATATGAGTAATTCTGATTACTTTTCTTTTCACACTATAAAACCTGTGTTCCAGGGAATGCTTATAGAAAATCACAGTTTGGCCCTGGCTGGTGTGGCTCAGTGGATTGAGTGCTGGCCTGTGAACCAAAGGGGAGCGCTGGTTCAATTCCCAGTGAGGGCACATGCTGGGTGGAGGGCCAGGTCCCCAGTAGGGGGCGGTTGAGAGGCAACCACACATTGATGTTTCTTTCCCTTTCTTTCTCCTCCTCTTCCCCTCTCTCTGAAAATAAATAAAATCTTAAAAAGAAAAAGAAAATCAGTTTGGTTCAAAATAAGTTTGGTTATAAACAGGTTCAGGTGTTTCCCCAGATTATTATTAGCCATTATCACAGTCCATGTGTCTTAGTGATATTGTCTGAATGTTTTGATGAAAGGATTTACCAGTGTTATTTTTATGAACTTTATATTTTCAAAAAATTTTTTTCACATGTTCTGTATTTAAAATTGAAGTTGCCTAGAGCAAAATTGAGGTCACTGTTATAATATTTTTTGTAGTACTAATTTAATCTTTTGAGACATTTTCTCTGGCCAAGCCTCATACGGTTTGCTAATTTAAAGGGGTGTGTGTGTGTGTGTGTGTGTGTGTGAGTGTATGTGTGTGTGAGAATGAATGTATATATGCTTATGTTGACTTTATTTCCATAGCTGGAATGAGTGGCTAAAACTGCCTGTGAAATACCCTGACCTGCCCAGGAACGCCCAAGTGGCCCTGACTATATGGGATGTGTATGGACCAGGAAAGGCAGTGCCTGTCGGTGGGACAACGGTTTCACTCTTTGGAAAATACGGGTAAGCATTTTGCTCTTCTAATCTGTAGGGATGTTGTCGTTTTCTGGTCCTTTTCTTTTTGGGAAGCTTTAATAGTTTGTGCCCAGTTGGGTACTCTCTGTGTACCTGTTTGATGCTGTTATGGGAAAACCTCTCTTCTTCTTACTGGCACAGTAAAAAATTACAGACTAGCAAGTCTATTAGCATGCAGGCAAAGTTTATTAATGATACATTCTCATGGAAGAGAACAGGCCTTGCTGAGGAATGGGTAAAAGGCATGGGCTTGGGTGGCAAAAGGCAAGGGTGGCAAGAGCAAGAGGCAAAAGCACCAGCTCCTTTGTTCTGAGGACTTACACAGCTGGTGGGATGGTGGTGAGGGAGTTACGTGTTGATTGATGGGTAAAGGTGTGCCGGTTTCCTCTGGGGAGACCTGACTATGCAAATGTAGGTATGTGTGGGGGTCTGTTGGCCAGAATTCTTATCTTGCTCCAGACCACATTTATTCACCTTACAAAACTGTCACTTTATGAAAGGGACAGTTAATTAAATTTGGGGCAATTACCCAAAATTATTTATGAGCTCTTTCTGTAAGCACTGGCGTCCCCCTCGTAAAACAGATAGTGACCAGAGGTAGGCAATTAACCAAAATTGTTTTATGGGCATCTTGTTCGGCACTGTGGACCCCTCTTCTTCCCCCTTCCAGGCCTTGGGATGAAGGCTGTTTCGAAGGCTTTCTCCCAGATAGTGGAAATGATACATTGAATCTCAAGGACTTCCCTCCTCCTGTGCTAGCATGGTGGTGGTTCTTGTGAGTTAGAATACCTGGCAATATTTTTGGACCAGACCCAGGACGGCTGAGTTAGTGGGTGAGACGTGGGTCCCTCCTCCTTCTGCCTTGGTTTACTGTCCTTCCTACCTAACAGTACATTATTATCCTTGAGACTGAATTTAACACATTTCCTATAGGATATGCAGATAGACTAATTAAGAAACATAATTATATTACTCTACTTTTAGTGATTGGTAATGTGATTCCTATTAGAAAATAGTCATTGGAAATTAGACTCTTGCTTTCAGGGAAAAAGGCTATGTGGTGTATACTGTAACAGTTTGGTTTTTTCAGATTTGTTATAATAGTGATAAAAATGACAATAAGCAGGATTAAAAAGCACTAATTTGATTTTATATTCATAGTGGTAATGATTATAGTAGAAAAGTTGTTAATTCAGTTTTCAAAAATTTACAGATAATAGAAGTTTATTGTGGAAAAAAACAAAAACAAAAGCAAACCATATTCCTATCCCTCTTCTCCTGGAAGAGGAAACACTCTTTATCTTTTTCTTTTTTTTAAAGATTTTATTTACTTATTTTTAGAGAGAGGGATAGGGAGAGAGAGAGAAACATTAATGTGTGGTTGTCTCTCGAACGCCTCTTACTGGGGACCTGGCTGGCAGCCCAGGCATGTGCCCTGCTGAGTTGAACCTGTGACTCTTTGGATCACAGACCAGCACTCAGTCCACTGAGCCACATCAGCCAGGGCTTTATCTTCAGAAAAGTGTTTCTATTCTATTATTCTTTCTGTGTATATTAATTGGAGTTTTTCTTTAAAAAACTTGGTCTTTTCTAAGTGTTGAATTACTTTAGTATGCAGTTCATATGGGAAAGATGGATGTATGTTTTCTTTTTTTACTTAACTTTGTTTTAAGAATGAGGTAGTGCCCTCGTAACCTGATGTTTTTTTTATTTTTTGTTTTTAAGTTTTGTCCTGAACTTTTAGTCTTAAAATGTATTTGAAATATTTCCATTGCTATCTTTATTCTCTATAATGGTCAATAGGAGTCCCTTCAAGTTGATCCCATGCCCTTTTGATTAGTAACTTCTGTGCTTTCTGACAGACAAGCTATTCCAGGCTCATTGGGCAATTTTCTGCCCCAGACCTGGTGTCTTTGAAAGATGTCCTAGTTTCTTTCACTGCCAAACAGTAGAAACCTTATTCTAAATATTACCAAACTTCTTAATTTTTGTTCATTTTAAAGTTGAGAAACATTTATCTCCTGAATTATTTTCATCATTAAATATGATGAGGATGATCATATTTTGTATGTTTGTTTGCTCTTTGTGTATATGTGTCTGTGAATTGCTTTTTGATGTCCTTGGCCCATTTAAAAAAAAAATTGCAATATAATTCACATACCATAAAATTCTTGGCCTTATTTTGAGTTGTTCTTTTTCTTATTAATGTATAAGGGGGTCTTTGTAGATTAATAAAGTCAGCACTTTGTGTGTTACAGCCTGTAAATACTGTTTGTCCTGTCTGGTGTTGTCTTTTAAATTTCTTAAATATTTGTTTATTTTGCTTGTTTGTTTGCTATTCATGGACCTTCAATTATGATGTTGAATTTATCATTTTTTAATGACTTGTGAATTAAATGTTTTAGAAAGTCCTTTCCCATTTTTTTTAAAAACATGTTTTCTTTTGTTAGATTTTAGTTACTCACATTTAAATCTTTGATTCATTTAAAATTACTTTTGTGAAAGGAGTGATATATTGGGTCAGGTATTTTTTCTTTTTAAACAACAGTTGGCTATCTGTTTGTCTCAACACTAATCATTAAATAAGCCATTGCTTCTAACTATTTTGAAATGGTATCCTTACGTCTTCAGTTCATTATGTATTGACATCGAAAAGAAACCATGTGTAGTATATCGAATGTACTGTGGTTAGGAAGGCAGGTAACAGTCTCTGGGTTCTAATCCTGGCTCCTTTGCTAAGTATCTCTGTACCCTTGGGCAAGTTATTTAATCTACTTTTGCCTCAGTTTTCTCACCTGTAAATGAGATAACAACAGTATTGACCTCATAGAGTAGTTTATGATGATAAGTTACTAAAGGTGTAATGAGATTAATGAGTGCTCAGTAAATATTAGCTATCATTATTTCTGAACTAGTCTGTTAATTTTCAATATTATTATATATCAAAATGTTTTAATACTTGATGGGAATAATCTTCATTGATCCTTCTTTTAGACTTTCTCTGGATATTCTGTTTTGTCAAACAAATTATAATATCATTTCAATTTAAAAAGAACTTGTTATTTATTGGAAAATTGTATTGCATCCTATATGTTATTTAAAGAGATAATCGACACCCTTACAATACTGAATTTTTCTATCCAGGAATTGGGTGTGTCAGAAAGGCTTAAACTCATGAATACAATCTAGATGTAATTCTATTTGGAATAGCTTGATTGCTTAGTATTGTGTAGGTATTTTAGTTTAATGTATCTATTAAAGAGACATCTATTATTGAAATCTATACAGGAATAATAATTCAGACGTAGTCTGAGACTTTGATAAAATAGCATGTTTCAGTAGAACAGACATGTTATTAAATAAGGATTGTTCCTTTTCCAGAATGTTTGTTCCTTTTTACTTTTCTAGGGTGGGGTTTGCTTGCCTCAGAGAAAAAAGTACACAGCAGTTTATTTCTTGTACTATAGCCTCAGTGGTTAAATGTTATTGAGAAGCAGCCAGATAGACCTCGTGGTTTTTCCTCCAGGCTTCGTCATAGGTGGTTTACCTTCTGGAACATTAGCTGGAGGTTCCCTCATAAAAGTGCCTCTTTAGCACTTGTGCATTTTAGATGACCTTAACATATCCGTATAGTTTCTGGGGCACTCTGATTCGAGTATAGGTGTGAGACAACTAAAATTTCCACAGAAGTGTGGTGAAATGACCTGTTAAAACAAATGAAGTCTTACATTGACATTTGTGATACTTTTCACTCAGATTTTGTCAAGTTCTTAAAAAGTACATGAAGTCAGTAGTAAGCAATCTATGTATAAGAATCATCTGGCCAGCTCACTAAAGAAACACCTTCCCACGTTCTCTCTGACTCATTAAGTCACAGGTGGGGCCTTAAGCATCAGCATTTTTAATAAGCATCCCAAGTGACTCTGAATGGTGGCCTGTGGACCACATTTTGAGAAACACTGCATTAACCCTTTCATAGTAGTCTATTTATACGACTTTTCCATGCATTTCTTTTCAGAGTTTCTTCCTTTACTCCATCCTCTGGTACCCACTTTATTTATATTTCTATGTATATCCCAGTAAAAGAATAATTTCTCTATGTTCCATCCAGACATGCTGGAAATGTGCCTAAAACATAAATCGGAGTATTTGTTCTACTTTAAGTTAAAGTAATTAAAGCCCAAAGATTTTCATAAAGGTAGTGGGCATTAAATTTCAATTACTTTTTCTGGTATCAAATAAATTAAGACTTTGAATCTCTTAACTGGAAAAACAGTTCATACTGTTGCTCCATATCCTGAACACATCTTCCAAAGTGAAACACGTTGGAGAACAGCACTTATTCTGTGAAATTACCTCCTTGAGAGCAAGTTTTCTCAAATATGAGTCATTGATTTACCACTTTCAGAATTCCTGCATATCTCCATACTAAATACATACACTCTTATTTACTTGATAATTTTATTTAAGTAAGCTCGCTTTTTTTAACCTCCATTTAGTTGAAAGTAAAAATATAATATCCTGCAGTACATTGAAAACAAGTATTATTTAACATTGGCAGGTAATGATAAATACAATGAAAAACAACTGTTAATAATGTTATGAAATATTAGAAATTGAAGCAAAAAGAGACTAATGAAATACAAGTGATAGTAAATCTATTTGCTTTACAAATATGTATGTAATACCTATGGAAAAAAAAAAGTCCTTTAATTAGAATGGTTGTGTTCGTGCCTAGTCAAATAGAAAGAATATTCAGCTCATTGTCACTTAATTTAAGGTAAAGATGAGGTTTTACGTCAGCATTTTTTTTTTCACCCGCTAAATTCCTATATGGTGGTAGGGCATTTAACCAAGTGGACATTTGCACAATGGGGAAGGAATGCAAAAAACTTAGGTCCCTTTCTCCTATTCCCTCCAGGCTGACACTTATACTGGACCTTCACCTTTTTCTCTTTGTGTCCCAAGGCCTTTCTTTGAGAGAGAACTGAGTTTCGGTGGAGACAAGCCCAGGGATTCCCTAGGATGATGCTGGATTTCGTGTGCAGCTTTGAATTGCTCAGGATGCTCCAGATGTTACAGTAGTGTGCAGACATGGACTTGTTCTGCCGCACAGCTGCCTCGCTGCGCGGTGCGCTGACATCCAGGGGGAGAAAGCAGGCCTCAGCCAGGAGCCTGTGCAAATTTTCTTCCACTTTCCATTAAAAATCATGTTATGTGCTTCCATATTCTCATGACTTAGGGAAACAGTAGTTCTCTCAAATGTTTCTTAAGCAATGAAATGACACCAGATGCTCCTCAATTGTTCCCTGAATAGTTCTGGTATGAAGTTGGTAGCTTTTAAGTAGTGGTCCTCAAAGCATCTAATAGTTGAATTATAGTATTGGGAATCTTGTGACTTTAAGTATGAATCTTGTGATTCATACTTGAATCAGTGTGAAGCAGTACTTCTTGGAGAATAGTGTAATTAATAATTGAAAAACCATATCTTTAGGATATGGCTAGAATAATTGTTCTCATTTTGAAAGTCTAGCTTGTGCGATTTCTAAGTAGGTCAGGAATGGATGGATCATTAGATTGACTTGGCAAAGAACCATAGGCAAGCTGCAGATTCCTCCTGCGGATGTCTTTTCCAAACGTGAATTCTGAAGTCCGGGCGGTTGCTGCTGTAGTGGCTCGGCACTGGGAGCGGGAGCAGCAGCAGCAGCTGTTGCGGGGGCTCTGCTGGCATCTGAAGGAGGTCCTGCTGTGCTGTTTCTTTTGTCTTGCCTGCTTGGATTAATTTCCCAAGTGGACATGATGCTCTGGAGCATCTTCTGGCTTGCCACCTGGAGGCTTTGTAACTCTACAAAGTTTCCATTAGTGTCAAAAAAGTAGTATGTTTCCTTGATAATTTGAGTCACTTGCTGTCACCCCTGCCCTCCATGTCCCCTCTCCTTAAACCTCTCCAGACCCACCCCAAGGCACCTGAACCATTTAGTAAACTGACTTCCTGCCAGATGTACTTATTTTTGATTTGGTTAAGTTCAGCCACTCAAAGTATTCACTGGAGTGAGGGAGGTAGAGAAAAGGAAGGGAGACCTTCTGAGGTTTCTGAAGGTAAATTTAAGTTGATATTCATTTAAAGTGATGTTGTTGCCTCACTGTACCCAGTTTCTTAGAGACTAAGCAGGTCTGCTTGATATTGAATCTGTATCTCATTTGAAAGGGAAGGAAAGCGAAATCTATGAAAGGCTTGTATATGTGCTTTTTTGTAATGTAACTTTTATTTTTTATCTCCAACATGGTAAATATTAAGAATTTTGATTCTTCACAACTAGTCAGTTCATTTGTTTTGGACCTGTAACATAAAGTTTTTGCAGATATGGTTGCTGCATATTTACCTGTTTATTGCTCACCGTAGAGACCTTGCAGCAGAGATGGTCTTTAATCTTACTGTGCTCTGAGCTTCTAACCATCCTTTGTAGTTCCCAATCCAAATGTTTATGGCATCATTACTTTGCATAATGTTCAGTGAAAATCCTCTTTATTACTCCAGGAAAATCTGTATAGAAATTTTCCATTAGAACATAATAAAAATAGTTTTAAAAATTTATGTAAAACTTTTACAGTTAAGTGCAATGTTTTTAAAGATTGGAAAAATGTATCTATCTATCTATATATATGCAACATGTACCTTATTTTTAAAAATACTTAATGTCAGTGTGCAAAGTGCTTTGGACTTGCCTATTTACTGGCAGCTTGCTCTTTCAGCTTTGGAAGGATTATGCTGTTTGAGTAGACTTTATATTGTCTCTGTTTAATTCCTAAAAAAAAAAAAAAAAAAAAAAAACAAACACTTAAAGAGAGAGAACACACTAACAGAAGACTTTCTTAATCTGTAACTCCCTCCATAAAACAAAACAAACTAAGAAACTTGACAGTACTATATCTAAAAAAGGATAGTTAGGATAGTGATCGAAAGTCCCTTTATTAGTTTGTTCAGCTTGCATTCTAGATCTTCTTGGTAGTTTTTTGAAGGCAACATGACAGTCAAAGGTCATTAAGTGTTTCACTTTAACGAAGGATCACCAGGCTCAGACAGAATTTCTGACTCTCTGTTTTGTAGACATGGAAATTTTTCCATATATGAATGCACTATTGTATTTCCCGTTAGACATTGCTTTTATAGAAAAGAAGACAGGAGAAAAGTTAACCTGTACCTAGTGAAAAGGATAATAATAGTTCACATTTATAGAATACTTACTATGTGGCTGGTACTACTTTTTACTTGTGCTTTTTCAATCTTTCTAACAGCTCTGCGAGATACAGGTACTCTTTATAATGAGGAAACTGAGGTGCAGAGAAGTGAAGCGATTTACCCAAAGTCATATAGGTAGTAAATGGCACAACTGGGGTTCAAACCCAGCAGTTTGACTGTACATCCTGCAGTGCTGACTCATCACCTAAAGTACACAGTTATGTAATTATTTAAATTTCACTTCAGTCATTGTAAATATGACATTATTTTCATTGGGTAGGAATTTGGTCTCTTTTCTTTCTAAGATCTCCACTGAAGTGGTGAAGGGTGTACGGTCTGTTATTGATCCTTCTGTTTGTCCAGTCTCCCTGTAGAATCTCTGTAATAGTTCTGACTGCTTGGAGGAGGAAAGAATGGCATGTGAAAAACAGTGTTTAACATGGATGTAAGTTGCTTAGTTAATTGCTTTACAACCCACTGGAGGTTTAAAGCTTGGCGAGAGAGACACATATTTCCTAGTGTGGAATTCTCTCTGTTTAGGGATCTAAAATTTCCTGTAATGAACTGCATTAATTTATTTCTACCCTGAACTTTCTCTTTTTGCCTAGCATGTTTCGCCAAGGGATGCATGATTTGAAAGTCTGGCCTAATGTAGAAGCAGATGGATCAGAACCCACAAAAACTCCTGGCAGAACAAGCAGTACTCTCTCAGAAGATCAGATGAGCCGCCTTGCCAAGGTAAAAAGAAATTGTTGAAACAGGTGGAAAGCTCTGAATGATGTCTCTTGTAGTATAAATTAACATTATGAATTCTGTCATATTATTATCTAATTTAGGTTTAATTTTTTAATAGTTTTATTGAAGTATAATTCGCATATCATAAAACTCACTCTTGAAAAGTGTACAGTGCACTGAGTTTTAGTAAATTCACGGAGTTGTACAATCATCACCACTAATTTCAGAACATTTTTATCAAAAATGTAACCATATACCCCATTAGCAGTCATTCCCTGTTTCCTCCTCCCTCCAGCCACGGAAAACTTTTTATCTTTGTGAATTTTCTTATTCTGGATATTTCATGTAAATGGCATCATACATTATGTAGCCTTTTGTGTCTGTAATTCCATCAGATTTGAAAATGTGCAGCTTTTGGAGATATTTTCAAGATGACCACCAACCTTTTTTGTGACATCATCTTAAAATGCCAAGTGTTACATGCTAGAGATTCTTAACATTGTTGGAAGTGAAGATCCCACATACTGTTAGTTACACTAATTGTCCACACTCTACTTCCACTTCTGGTTTTGTAAGCAGACTGAGTTACTACCTTTTTCCTTCAGAATTGTTTTAGCGAAGTGTTTTCATTTAGAAATACAAAAGCTAGGCTCAAATCTGTATATAAATCAGAACAATGTAGTTTATTTTATCAATAATGGTTCCCAAAGCATTATGCTAAATAGATCTTTTTACAATTCTTAAAAGACTTCCTTTTCATTCTCACCTGTAATTTTTCCTTGCAATGTTGTTAATAATAGAGGACTTTCATGTCTGGAGAAGGTTTTGATACCAAGAATTTTGCAGCTTGTTGCCTCAAACCTATATATGGAAGAAATACTAATCATAGAGAATAACTACTTAAATTGGCTAAACTTTGTGATTCAACATAAAATTTTTGCTGTCAAGTCCATTCTGTATCTTTCTGTGTAGTTTATTTATTTATTTATTTATTTATTTATTTATTTATTTATTTATTTTTGTGGGAAAATGATGTCACAGGTTTCTAATCAGTTTTTAACCAAATTACTATTGCCAACATCCTTCTCCATAATTAAATAAATAACATTTAATTTTCAATTCAGCTACTCATTCTAAGATTTTATTTACATTCTTACATGGGATATAGGAAAGTTCTCAGACTTTTCATATGTCTGCCTACTTTTTAAGGGTTTAGCCGAGTGATATGAACCATCATTTTAGCTACTCTGAGACTTGTATAAATCTTGAATAGTTAATAGAAATTTTGTAGCATGTGTTGAAGAAGCAAACACTCTTAAATTACTTTATTGAGAACAACATTATGATACATATTATGGTTAAAATTCTAAGTTCGAGGGGGAGTGGGCAGTCAAGAAATATAAAGCTGTATAGAAGTATAAAGTACGATTTATCCACTTTGCTTCTCATTAAATGAACTATTTAGGCTTCTGTTCATGTATTCTTAATTTTTTCCCAATTATTTTTGATGGAAGGTTCAAAATTAATTTTTATACCAACTGACTATGATCTTCTTCAAATAGCAATATATACAGCATTGGAATTTGTTTGAACTGGACTTCTAGCTTCCAAATGTAGCAAAGTGTCTTAGCATACATTTCTCATTTTTACCTTTTGAATTTTAGAGTTGGCAAAAGATGTGACTTAATAATGATCATCTTTTAATGATTGAAGAATAACCCCTTAAAAAATTTTGTGAGTTCATGTTTGTTTGTTTGTTAGTTTTTTGGGTTTTTTTGTTATCAGTGTACATTTGTGATCTAGAAATGATGACTAAACATGCAGGTTACATGAGGTGTTGGGAAGAGGCCTTGTTAATTAATAACTATCATGATCAATCTAAATTTTTTATGTTTGTGACTATGGCAAGTTGGGTCTTCCTTCTTCAAGAGATAGTTATTAAAATTATATGCTGCCTTTATTGCCCAAAGAGATTTAACAGTTTTCAAGTAAATCTTTATGCATTGGTTGCTAAATTTTAATAGGAATAAAAATTAATGACAATATGCATCTTACAGTCTTTATGATGCTAATTGGAGATGAGCTTTTTTTCAAAGGTCTTTGCCCCTAACAGAATTACGCTTTTTACTTGTGTGGAGACTTCAGCGCTTGCTATACTGTGACGGCTTGCATTTGTGTTAGCTCACGTTCCCCAGAAATTAAATAGAAACCATTAAAACCAGTAATTACACTTCTTAAGGGTAAAAGTGCATCGTGTTTGTAGCATTGTTGAAGTAACTACTCCTCTTTGGAGGAAGCTTTTTATTTCTTGGCACTTTGGGTTAATATGTCTCATTCTTCTCTACGCAACAGTTAGTCATTTTCTTTGAGGTTCCAGAGCCTGGTATATCCATACTGCTATTGAAGAAGAATGGGTTTTTAAAGTGATATATTAGGTTGGATGAAATTGGAAGCTCGGACATTTGGGAGCACTTTACAGTGGGAAGAGCACTATAGTATGAATCAGATTTGCCATCCTGACGACTTAGGAAAAATCATTTCTGAGCCTGTAAAATCAGAAGTTTTACAATGAATGATTTCTGAGGTTCTGTGTAGCTATTCATATTCTGTGATTCTAAAAGTACTGAAATAATAGGCAATTGGGATTATTTATCTACCTGGATTTAGTAGTTATCACCTTAGTAGAGAATGAACATGTGGTGCTGAGTTTGCATTTTTGAATGCGTTGTATTCATGTCATTTTTTTTTTCCTTCAATGAATATGCCTAGAGCAAAATATTATTCAGGGCCCATCTAATGTGAATGATGTGGCTGTGCTCTTAGATTTTGTTGTTGTTACTGTTATTGGATTAGTACCTGCTTCTTTACTTAGATTTTTCAGACTGGATTCCTGAGTCTCTTTCCCTTGCCTTGTACCAGAGAAGGTGTACTTTGATATTTGTTATACTCTTAATGTTGACACTTACCAGAAAGAGAGTATACTTTGCTATTTGTTATGTTCTGAACTTAAAATTATTCATTTTGATTAAAACTGTGCCAGAATAGCTCTCTTTTCCTTTTCATCCCTGTCACTCACCTTTCCTTCCCCCGCCACATTTTTCTGGTTCCATGTTAAAACATTTGTTCAGTTAGATTACCATTTTCTTCTGCAAAATATTTGAAAATTGTTTTTGCTGCAATATACTCTTAAAAATCGGGAAAGAATGTGTATGCTCATGTTTATATTTTCATACAAAAGGAGCAGAAATTTTAGATGTAAAACTCATACTTCTCACACTCCCTTTTTAAGGCAAGAAATGAATATTCAAAAGATGAGGTTTAAGTGGTTAGAACAGAATGGTTTATTTTTGTTGCATTTTGATTTTCCAGCCAGTGAACTTATTGAGATTGTTTCTAATCGTTGAGAAGGCAGTTGGCTTAAGCATAGAAAGGTATACGTAAATCTTAATAATAGGACAGCATAGTTACCATGTATTGTACCCATGAGCCAAAATAAATGGCAGAGTGACAATTTTCAAACTGCAGTGTTAGAAAGTTTATTCAGTTATAGAACTGCTTAAGTCGAGGCTGCCTGGGGATAATGGGACAAGAGGACTGTGAAATGAAGATGAACTATTTAAATGGTCTTTGAAAAGATGGTGTTGGATCATTATTAAACAAACAACCTTAAACCCAAGCTGGATTAAATATTCTTACTCTGATTTATTGCTCAGCTAAGAAAGTAGAATTATAACTGCAATATGAATGAATGAAGTTTAAAAGCCTTATTTCTAGGTTTAACATTTTAAAAAATCAGGTCTTTTCAGAAGAATTTTAGTGGAATTAACCTCTAATGATTTGACATCATTTTGCGAACATTTATAGTTTTTCCTTTGAGGGAAAATGAGTGTGAAAAAAGGAAACAAAATTGAATAGTCTTTAGTTTTGTTATTTTATGTAATTGGATGTAGGAAGAAATGAATGTATTAAAATACACTCTTTTCCCCCATCTTCCTCATTCTCTTTTCCACCTCTAAATTTCCCGAATTAATTTTTAGTGATATAGTATTTTTCTGTTTGAGTTGATTTGTGAAAATAATCAAAGGACAGACTTCTGGGACATTTATTACACTTTCATTGTCCATGACCCAGCCTTTAATGATTGTGGCCTTGAGCAAATTTGCCCATTGTTCCCATCTGCTCTGGTTTTCAGCTTGTCATATTTTAAGAGTTTTATGACTAGGATGCCTATCCACCTGGGGTTTTGGATGTGACTACCAAGCTTTAGTGTTTGATTTATATTTGAATCCATGCCTTTAGACATGAAAGGTTAGTACAAAAGCATGCTTCTCTACTGTCTCCTTTTCATTTTAGCATCTCTGCTTGATGCCTTTGGAATGTGCTTTAGTTTCTGTCAATTTGATTAAGTGGCGGCAAAGAGAGTGTAACGACTAGATGAAAAATGTTCTGTGGTCTGAGTGACACAGATAGGTTAGGGAATGTTGGGCAGTGTGTGAGTATTGGCACAGTGAAGCAGTGGTAAGATGTGATGTTCTAGGCTGGCCTTCAAATTGCCTGCATGAGGTCACTCTGGTTCAGGGTCCAGTCCTCAGGTGGAGAGCAATAGGAACTGGATTTTCCCATTCATCCAGGAATAACTGGCATTTTTGAGAATAGGTTCATTCTGTCAATTCAAAGGGTTATTTATAATCTAGAGCAGTAATGTTTAATAGTCACAAATCACATGTGGCAATTCAAGTTTAAGTTAATTAAAATTAAATAAAATTCAGAATATTATGTTACCATAATTATGATGCCATGATCACATTTCAGGTTCTCAGTACTCATATGTGCCTAGCAGCTACTTGCTGGACAGTGCAGATACAGAATATTTTCATTTTTGCTGAGAGTTCGATTAGATAACACAGTTCTAGAGTGCTAGTTTACTAATTTGTAATGGATGAATTACCATTATTATTGTCTTCCTGGTAATCACATTACTTGTATCTGCTACTCAGGACACC